CCTGAGTTTGTATTTGAAGATTCTTGTACTGCAAATTATTTCTTGTCTGTTATATTTTGGCAGTCTCGCATAGTTTGGCAAGGCTTGTGCTTATGACAGCTAATTATTTTGCAGAAGCATTAAAAGGTTTCTGTTCCCTTTGGATTGTGTTTGATTTGTTGGAAAAGGGCATGGGTCAGAACACACAGTGAGTTAGCCATGGCAAGTTGGCTGTGCAATTTGGCTAAGGTGAGCCGGCTGTGGCAAGTTGGTCATGGCGCGATGTTCCATTCTGCCACGTATTTAATGTTTTGCTTTTATAATTGGGTGGTGACTTCTGTGGGAGCCTCACTCAAAGCTTCTAGGGATCTAGTGATGTCTTGGGGCATTCTCAGCTGTGTGCCATAAGTGAACACAGCCTCTGCTTCTTGTTCTGCATTTCACTTTATCCTAAACTGCATAAAATGAATAGTTTCCCATTAGGTAACCTTAGCCCAGTAACTGTAGCAATATATTTTGGAAAAATTAACACAAATACAATATGATTATGTAAAACTGCATATGCTGAGGTGGTTATATCTCCATATATTTAAATAGAAGCTACTCAGAAATTCTGACTTGTTCTTCCTATTCAGCAAGATATTCCTATTCAGCAATAAATAGCAAGAGATTGTCATAAGTTCAAACAGTATAGTTGCCCGATATGTATTCTAACAACTTTAATACCTTTAATAACTATAAACCTAAATGCCAAAACGTCAAGAAATCTCAGCAGGGCGCATACAGCACAGCCTCTCTCACATAAAGCCATCTCAGGCCCTTTGGGTCTGCAATGGAAACTTGCCTTTTTCAAATACGATGAACACATAAGACCAAGGGCTGAATGCAGGATTGCTGAGATCAGGGCTATTCTGGGGTAGACAAGTTATGTCCTGCTGATAGGAAAGGATTAATGAGCCGGTCGGCTCATTCGTTGCAATTAGAAACAACACTCAGACTATTCTGGGGCTATTTTGATGGCAAGAAGCTCAACAACAGCTTATCAGATCCCAGCTACTTGTAAGGCTTCGTGTAAAATGAGGGATGATGTAAAAAATATAGGATGATAAAACAAGCGCTAAAGTGGTGGGTCTTCTTTTGGAAGGTAAATGGATTATGTATTAACTGACACCCAGGCATTTTCAAAGAGGTTTAGGGAACAGACCCAGCAGGAACTGGGGCTGGGGGAGCTTGCATTATTAGTCTAAGATCAGGTTGCAGTTGTTATTTTGACTGCTACGGGGAACAAGAAGATCTAATCTAGGAAGTGCTGCACCAAGAACTTCAAAATATGGGGGGGGGGGGGGTTTGCCAAGAAAAGGGATGCCTCTTTTGTACATTTTTTATTAGAAGAAATTTATGATTGGAGTTGCTTGTTTTTCATGCTTCTGTGTTTTTGTCGAGGAAGAGCTTTATCAAAATAACCAATCTTGTTTAGTAGCCTTTTTCCAATTCATGGACATCAATCAGATGCTTCAAGAAAACAGCAATCAGGTTAGGGAATGCTAGATTCTGGATGTAATGACTTTGCAGAAACAATGGAAGTCATTCCACTTTATTGTTTAACTCTTACCACTGAAGCTTAAGAAGTGTGAATGAAAATATGGCAAAAAAAAATTGGAGAAAGACTTTGTGAGTAAGTTCTACCAGTAAAGATTGACAAGATGTCCAAATATTTTGAGAATTTTTTTATTTTATTTCCTATTTCTAAACCAGCCATCTCCTTCATCTTATCACACCAAAGGTTTTGGGGGCCATATGGCTCGCGTGGAAAGACACTGGGCCTGTGCACCACTGAGGTCGGCGGCTTGATTCCTGTGAGTGAATAAACCATGTAGGGACAAGAAAGGAGCCTCCCCTGATTGCCTACCAGCATTCAGGTGTCCTGTGGGTAAAGATAACACCGCCCAGAAAAAAATTCCTTTCTCAGAGCACTAATTACAAATGCTTGGGATGATGCTTTAGAGATATTCTCATGACAATTTTCCAGGTATACTGACTTCCCTGCTTTTCTTTAAATTATTCCTATCAATAAATTTCCTGGAGTTGATTGTAAGGAGTAATAAAATCAGGTAATAACTCAATTCAAAACTTTGATCTTCCTCAATAGTTTCGGGTAGATGTTGAACAGCATGTAGAATAAGAGGAAGCTCCAGAGATCCATAGATTGAACAACAGTTCCCTAACACTACTTCCAGAACATGGCCTGACATGAAGTACTGGAACCACTGTTACTTCCAGGGTTTTGCTTATTGGGCATCCAAAAGTTTATTGTAATCAGTAGTGTCAAAAAGCTATCAAGAGATTTAGGAATTGGTTGGTCCATATTCTCACCATCAAATTTCTAGCCTCCTTTCATCACAGGCTGCTCCCATATCTAAAAGTCTATCATGCAAGACAGTGAGACAAAAATTGCTTCATCACCTATCCATTTTTCCTCCTTTGAGAATATTGGAAATTAGAAACAAACACCTGTCAAGTGGTAAAATTAATAAATTTAAAAGTTATGTCTTCCATTATTAATAACATCATCTTTGGCTAAAATTTCTCCATTAACCAAGTACAGGGTTAGTCAAGGAGAGTTTCAAAATTTAAATAGTGTAGGCAAATTCACTTACCTTTATATTTTCATAAAGCAGCTATTTTCATGCAAATCAGGACCTGATCTTGTTTTTTATTATAGAGGAAATTCCCCTTTGAAAGAAAGAGGAAATTGGGAGAGAGAAAAAACTACTTGTCAGCCCTGAAGCCATTTTGAGAGTATCTTTAAGGCTGCCACAGCAAGGCCGCTTGAAGCTGTGGGAACATGAAGGGGGAGATAGAGATAACTGAGGGATGCATAGCCAAAATAAAATTCTTTCCTGTGGGAGCCAAGGACACTCTACCAGGTGTTGGAAAGGCATGAACAAAAGCCAGCCGGAATTGGGACTGCAATCTGATTGGACCATGTGATGGACGTGTGACCTTGGGTTTTGATTTGGGTAGGGAAAATCCTGAGTCCGTCAGAGTCAGGTTTTCTCCAGCTGTGCCAATATGATATTCCTAATAAATTCATATTTTGAGAAAACTCTAAGTCTCGGAGTTTTGATTGCTTTGGATCTGTTACTTGGAACCCTGATACTATCATTGTTCAGAAAAAGGCAAAATATATAATCAATTCTTGTAGAAAACTATTTTAATAAAAGGAATCAAATATTGAGAAAATATATATGTTTAATAACAACTCTGTTTGGCAAAAGTACATAGTTACATACATACATACGTCTTCTACCACACCTATTTTATTTTATTATATATATATAGTCTTTTTAAAAATCCAAATTTAAAAAAGCACTCATTGCAACTATGATGCTTCTATGAATCAATTTCACAAACAGCAGACATTTCCTATTCTTTCCAAACCAATCTTATCAAAAGGCACAACTTATCATCACGTTTTCTGTGCATTCAATTGAAATGAAAGAGGCACAAAAAGACTCATTTGAATGGTACTTGCACAACACTTTATTCTGCTTTTATTCTGCCAAAGCTTCCCATCAACCAATAGCAGGATTATGCCATAAAATGGGAGCCTCATAGATAACTTTTTAAGAAACACTAGCATGGCGAATAAAGTCAGTGATAAAACAGAATTTATAATGTTCAGTTTCACAACTGACATGCCTCAAGACAAAAAAAGAAACATAATATTATTCCAAAGTGAAAGGGACTAGAAATCAAAAGGATTTCCCCCAAGAAGATTCAAATAGCTACTATTCTGAATATGGGTATTCAATTTGTAGATAATAAAATAATAGGCAAACAAAGATTTAGATGATTTCCTGAGAATGAATCATAACATAAAATGGACATACCTCCATTTTATTTTTGCCTTTACAGTTCTCCATTTAGGAATCACATAAATACAACTGAATTTTGGCTCTTTTTGATATTTAAATAGATCTTATGATGCAAAATGAAATTAAATTACTGAAGGATATGTCTACACTACAACTTTGTATGTTGCCATTTCACTACTTAAATGGATGCCAAATTAAGAAAAATGACCTGAAGTTTCTGCAAATTTCCAACTTTTTATCTGTTTTGTGATTCTCCCATCTCTTGTGTAGCCCTAGGAATCAGTGCACCCATTCTATTAGTGTGAGAGTTATTCACTCATGTGAATTTAAAACTGGCAAGAAAACAAGGGCATCTACACCTATGCATTATTTGAAATGACAATACTTTTTCCCATTATTACTTTTCTTTTCTCCGCTTTGCATTTTCACTTCAGAAAAATAAAATGAAACTCCCTGAGAAATACTTAAGTTGAAAACTTGCAAAATACCTTTCAATGGAAAAATGAAGAGAGAAGAAATGACAGAACAAAGTGCACTTCAGCAGCCTGATCCATCTTCAGACTGGTGCACACCCTTGATGAAAACCCCATCTGAAGGTCCTATAGATGCCATTGGCTTTTGTTTTTTTTTTTCTGTATGTACTGGGCCACACATGCGTTAATGTGAATTATTGTGTCGATCGCAAGCTGGTCCAACTCCACTTCTGTGTGTTGATGCTGCAGGCACACTGACCAGTTGTCAGATGTCATCTTGATCAAGCCAAGAATGTACAGGCCTTCCCGCCTGGCTTCATTTCTTCTCTTTTGTGAATACATCTGAGGATATCTCAGATCAATCCAGAAATATGGAATTGAGAAAGTGTTGAAAAGAGAAAGCAGTACAGAGGCAGAAGTCTCTATTTTACTTCAATATACCACTTTTAAAGTAGGACAAGATTGTCTGAACTAGGACAAGAAAGTCTGAACAAAGCTGCTATAAGTGAGATAGGAGCCATCTGATACATCTTGGATAAGTTATCTGGGCAAAATACATGCAGTCCATTCCAGCTCCCCATGCTTTTCTATAACTGTTACAAGTTGAAAGCTAAACTAGCTAAGTGGTTTCATGAAGGAAATAATAAAAAGGACACACACACACTCACAATTCTAAAACACTTCATTTTATAATCAATATTTTTCTTTACATAAACAGAAACACGCCAGAATTTTGTGCGAAAAAATATTTTAAATAAACTTTAAACTTATTCTTAATCTTTGTACATTCTGATATACATATGTAACAAGGTTTATGGCACCATTACTAGAACCAGAAAAGGGGGAGGGGGGAATAATTGCTTTTGTTGTATTCCTGCTTCTATATCAAGCCAGTAATCTTTGCACTATTTCTTAAAAAAATAGTATTTGATTACTGGGTAGCCTGCAATAATTGGTTTGAACACTCAAAATAAAAATACTTTCCATTCCCAAAAACTATTATTGCACAAGAAGCCAATAAAGGCATATGGCATAAAATGGTCAAGTCCCTTGGTGTTTAATGTCCTACCCCTCCTACCCACAACCCAAATAGAAAAAATAGTACCAGAAGATGAAACACCAGAGGAAATAAAAAGGTGTTCTCTAGCCAAAAGGGTGAGATGTGATTTGCAAATAATTTAAGCTGCTCTGATAATCTTTGCACCAGCAAGCATTTTCATTAGGGTTTTCTTTAGTAAAGTCCTTGCAAATTCAAGGCCTGTGGATCTAGTCTTTTTGCTATTATTTTGGCTGGTTCTGTCGTTACTTTTTTAAAAAAAAATTATATAGCTGTTCTCAGTCTATGAACCTGCACAGACTACTTAGTCATAATTTCTACAAGTAGATGATTACTGGGTACCCACCCCCTCAAAAAAAACAAAAACCTAAATAATATCCAGGAAGATTTTTTCTCATAAACATCCATTTTTAAAAGCTGGTTTCTTTTTAAGCCTTCCTCCTTCCTCCATTCCTTTGAGAATTGATTTGCAATGGCATTCTGCGCAAAAATCTGTAACGACTTTCAAAAAAGTTTAAAAAAAAAAAGCTTTCCCTAGTAAAGCTAAAAAGAAAAGAATCACCCATGCTTCCCAATTTGTGGAAAGTTGGTGGGGGGGAAACCTGTCCTGTTGTTCTTTGATGTCACACAACAGTCTCAACCCCAATCAGCTTTGGCGTAAGAATTCGTGGTGTGACTCCATTGTTCAGATCTTCTTCAAACTCCAATAACTGCCCCATGAAATTAAGGTTGGGAGAAATGATTGGTCGCTTGCCTTTGACAAACTTATAGGCATCCGTCATAGTCATCCTTGTGTGCTTCATAAGGTATGCAATGACAATGGTGGCGGAACGAGACACCCCAGCCTGGCAGTGGATAAGAAGACCCTTCCCGCATTGGTGAGCTTCCTCTGAAAAGATCAGAAACAAAGGAAGATACTGACTTTAATAGGGAAAAGGTCATTGAAAGAGATCAAGACATAACTTCATAATGCAATTCATAGCTTAACATTTCACTGGCCCAACTTCACATTGGGAAGGAGGAGGAGAGGGAAGAGGAAGAAGAATTAGGTAATAGTAATAAGTCTTTATTGATTAGCCCTTGGGCCATATCAAAATGCAAAGTTCCAGCAACAATTTAATACTAAAATTTCATAAAAGCAATTCAAAATGAAATTTGATAAAATACTATTTAAAATGGAACTTGATAAAATACAATTTAAAATGGAATCTAGACAAAATACGATTTAAGATGAAATAGTAATAAAATACAATCCAAAATAAAATTGTAATAATGTACAATAATTTAAGCTATGGATAAAATATAATAACATTATATTTCAGAGTCGCCCTTGCAATCTACCCCAATCAATCCCACATATGCAGATCTCAACCGAATCATTTTGTTTAAATACTGTGCTACTTTAACTGTTATTTTCAAGTTCTGGCCTGACATAAGGTAAGTTATTTTGATATGGGTATCCCAATGGGACATTCGTCTGATATATAGACCAAGATACCTGTCTCTCATTACACAGGCAACAAGAATTAGGCATTGTTCAGTTTCAGTCTGCTCTTCCCTTACTTGATTTGTTTTTGCTAATGTACAAATCAATACAGGGCCAAATAAATTCAACGGATAGCTAGGAAGAACATTTAATATTTCAGCAACAAACAAGATTTTAAAGAAACCCAGAAAGAACTTGACAGAACTCTTTTTCTTCGCTGTAGAGAGAGAAGAATTGGAGAGCAGCAATGAAAGCCTCCAAGTCCATGGCTCTGCTCTTGTTCAGAGACTCTAATCAACACAGAAATTGCATTTATATGAATCAGCACTGTTGCTTATGAAGTATCCAAACAGTCCAAAGTTCATAAACCTTTGAGAAATGTGTGCTTTGCTTCTCTCTGTTCCCAGTAAGTAATTCTAAAGCATTGTTGGAAAAATAGCCTAGAAGAATCCATTTGCCTCTCTTCTCTCCAGCAGTCCTTGTTTCAGAACATTTCTGTTATTACAACCTCCCATAAAAGTTCATTAGAGTCTTGCTGATAAGGCATAATTTAGGTGTTATGCATACTGAAAAGTCATGGATTGTTTTATCTATTTTTCACAGGGCCTAATAGCCCTATGTATTGTATCTTGACAGAATTCAACCAACTTTTAAGAAAGGAATTGGGAGCTTTCAGGTTAGACATTTCTTGCAGAAACACACTTCTCAGGATATGTTATCACTGGCTATGTTGCCAGAAACACTAGTGCAGCAGCATTTGAAAAACTAAAAGTTCTCCACCTTTCTTTATTATTTTCATGGTCTTCATATGAATCACATGCATAAATATGATACACCTGGTGGGACCCAGAAGAAGGGCTTTCTCAGTGGTGGCTCCCTTTCTCTGGAATATCATTCCCCCAGAGATTAGAATGGCCCCCACTCTAGCAGTCTTCCGAAAGGCACTGAAGACCTGGTTTTGCCAGCGGCCCTGGGGAACCCAGAGAGGGATGGAGCCCATCAAATGGCTAGTGTAATCTGATGTCGTCGGGGCGGGAGGTGGGAGTTGTTTTTTTGTTTTTGTTTTTTGGGTTTTTTTTCCAAATTTTGTTCTATTGTACTTATTTTTTTGTTAGTTTTTATTGTTTTTTATTTTTATTTTTTGTTTTAAATATGGTTTTACATTGTGTAAGCCGCCTCGAGTCACCATGGGTGAATAGGCGGCAATATAATATATTCTTTGAAGACGTTTTGCTTCTCATCCAAGAAGTTTCTTTATCTGAAAAGCATCTTCAAAGAAAAACCAGAAAGTCCAGTTGCCTCTTGAAAAAGCACCTTTGGGCATCTCCAGCCTTACTTATTTTCTGGAAATCTCTCAATACGTGGCTATGCTATCAGGCTTGGTAGTCCCAGGAGACTGGTAAGATCTGGAGGTAGTTCCATTATGGCAGTTAGCATCTACTCTCTTGTGGGCCTTATGATTTTTGTAGACTTTTTTTAAAACAATGTCTCTTTTTTATTCATTTATTTATCATTAAATTTGTTTGCTGTCCATCTCACCTTGAGGTAACACTTTTTACAATGTTATATACAAAAACATGTATTTAATAAAAAATAAAACACTATAAAAACACAAATTATCAACTAGGGAGAGAGGAGGGCGGAGGTGGGATCTGTTATTTATCAACCACATGTTTATTCTTTAATATCCGTATTGTACGCCACCCAGAGTCATATTGTTTTGTGGGATGGAGGGCACACGCACACACACACACACACACACACACACACACACGACAGGCAACTTTTGTGATTACAAAGCTAAACCCTGGTATGCCTTTGCAAGTTGGGCAGTGCAATAAACAATACAGAGTACGCTAGTTAAAGAAAAAAAAAATAGGGGCAATTCTATTTTATGGCTCTCGAAGTCTGTATCTGCCAGTTAAACAATAAATAATCTGTTGGCATGCTTAGTTTCCTAAAGCTAGAAATTTGCTGCTCATTTCCTTTTCCCCTGTAACAGTTACAGTACATTTAAGTTGCTATGTTGTAATGATCCAGTGCAAATGGGGCAAGGCTTGGATGGTTAGATAAGGCCAAAGTTCTTATTTTGCTATATGGGCTCTGGAAGAATGGATTTGGCCTGGAAGCACAATAAATCTTCAGCTGATGCAAGTCTCATCCTGTTGCCAGCATAAAGAAAATAGACTAGTTTTATTTAGCAATAGGACTATTAAGCTGCTAAACAAGACCTGTGACCCACAGAGAGTCTTCTGAGAAAAAAACTACAAACAAATGGCATATTTACAGAAAGATCAAATCTATGCTTATTTAGTATTCTCATGAATTCCCTATTTATGCCCCCAAATTGGAGCTCACAAGGAAGCAATGAGGCAAGCTGACGGATTTAATCAATTTTTCCCAATCTTGTGCCTGTGGCTGTATGAGTGTATAGGGCCTCAACTGACATAGTCTTCAGCTAGAATGGCCAATGTTCATGCTAGCTGAAGGATGAGGAAGTTAATGACTAACACATCTGGCACCAGTTGGGAAACACTGTCTCAATTTACCTAGGGAAAAATGTATGTTTCTATTTCCACAGATAAAATAATATATAGCTGCAAGCATTTTAGCTCAATATTATTAAAAATTCTGAAAGCAGTTCATTGTACCTTTTAACATTCTGTCCACACCCAAAAGCCAAAATGCATCATGCCAGATACAATAAAAAGAAAAGTGTTACCTTGAACAACATACATATATATAAAATCCTTGGCATGTTAGGAAGTTTTGCTGCAACTCTCCTTTCATAATCGTTCCTAGTCATATTTAGCTCTGTCCTATTTTTTCACCAGCCTCTTCCTGCAAGCCTATTATGCAGGATCAGATCTTTTGAGAGATGTGTGCAGATCAAATAGCATAAAGCTTTGTGTTTTGTAAAATTATCCTTCTTTCTTGAACTTATTCTGGGGGAATGTCACCAGAAGGCATCCATAATAAAGGACAAGCAGTTCTCGTAGCATTGTTGGATAAACTGGCTAACCTCACAAGGCAGTCCTGTGCGATCAAAGGAAGACCAAAGAAGCACTTATCCAGCTCATCTTGGAAGTAATAAAACTCTATTGCATGTAGCCACTGAGACCTCTATTCTCCATGAATGTGTATCAACACCCCTGGGAATCTGTGGCCATAATCAGTGAACCAAATTTGACAGTTTAACCAAGCACTACTCTTTTAACATTGTGACTACAACTTCCCAATTTCTATAAGATTGAATTTATGAAGGCAAAATCCATCTGAGGTGTTTTTTCCCCCAGATCTCTAATCACCTGCACTGGATTCCTGTTTCTGAAATAACCTGTCACTTGACTGTCCCACAATATCCCTATGAGTTTCTCATAGGCAGATACGTCATTCCTTTAAGAATGTGAGAATACAGAGAATGGATATTAACAAACATCTGCAAGATGGTATTAATATGGTATTAATAAGGTCAAAATTCCCTATCAAGCCCATGTTTTACAAAAAAAAAGCTATCTCTGCCGTAATGAATAGAAACCTGCTGGAAAAAGGATGAATATTACAAGTGGTCGATTATTTTAGAAATGGAGCCAGGGATAAATAAATGCCCTGCTGTTAAAATGCCCAACCAAAGTAACTTCAATCATCCAACCAACCCTCTGGACCAAGATAAATCTATTTTCCAACCCAGAGTTAAAGTCACAAGAGCAGCACTTATTTAGAGCAAGCTAGTCAAACTGGAAAGAAGAATAGTTACCAATGAATTCAAAAGCCTCTTCGAAATACTGTCTGAGGTTCTGCTTGTTGCTATCCGTGGCAGGGAGACGTTTGTAGATGAACAAACCTTTCTCATAATGGTAGAGAGGGAGGTGAGTGGTGACGTTGATTATATAGCCAATGTTCAACCTCTGGATCTTCTCCAAGTCCTGAGCATCATGTTCATTGCCAAGAAAGAGGAAGGGCAAGATGGGGGTGAGCTCGGCATTCTCAATATCTGGAGTGGTAGCAATGGACTGAGGTAGTGTACAGGTTACTGCGGCCCCTCCACCTCCACTTTCAGGACACTCCTGAAGTTGGAGGGAATTATCACAGAGGTTTTCATGGTTCTGCTTAAAACTGCTGAGTCCACCTGCAACAAGAGAGAAGAATTGGGTTTTTAATAAGAGAAAATGAATGGGGAGATTGAGAGTTCAGTGCTGACATTTTTAATCCACCAAACAGAGACAGAGCCCCATCCTGATTCTGAAGCTGTAATTTTCATTTTCTGCCATGTGCTGGAAACTCAACTCAAAGCTGCTTGACAAAGCAAATTATCTTGGATCATAGAGTCCAGGGATATATTCACTTACTAGTTCTTTCATTGGTTTGTTAGTGGTCTCAAAAAACAGACAAGATGCCTCTAAGTTGCAGTAGATACTTGTACTCACTTTACATTTGGCCTTATATGTACCTTTCTGCAGCTTAATAACTTTTCCCACAATCTCTTAGTCCACAGGAGTTGAACCCAGTACTAAAGTTGAAATCAAAATTGAAAGGATGCATAACAATGGGTTGTGTGTTGCAAGAAATGAAAACACATTTGGTACCTTTTGCTTTCTTTTTCATTCAAAAGAATTGTGTCTGTAGCTTTCATTTTTATGGTGTTTATTATGTTTTTTGTTACATTTTATATCTGTGGCTTTTTTACTGTGTTGTTTTATTTCTATATTGTATGCTGCCCAAAGCCGCTTTTGATGAGATGGGTGCCTATATAAATTTGATAAATAAACTTCTGAATCAAACCATTTGGATTTCACAATCCAATTTTCCTCCTAATAAAATTCTGCTTCACAAAGAAGAGATTACTCAAAAAGTGAATTGTTAAAAGACAGGGTACACACAAGACCTAACTTTTTTTCCCCCTCTAATGCCTGAGCAGGCATTCAGGATTGCCTTCTGTTCTCTCGCAGTTGGGACACTGATTCAGAAAAATAAAAATGTGAAAACTTTCCTCCCTTCAATCCAAATGACTTGAGCTGAAACTCCCCACCTGCCTAGTTGCCATGGCATTGACACAAAGACATAGAATGACATCAGCTTGGCATGACATCAGCTCTTTGAGTGCAAACAATGTAAGAAGCACCACTTTGTTTAAGGGCTTTTGGTACAACTGTGTGTTTCAGAACCCATGATGTAATGCTAACAGGTGGTTGGACCAGCTTTTGCCTCAGGAGGAGGAAAATACAGTTATGGCCCTTCTGAATATGTAGGAGATTATAGGTGAGGCAGCTACTAACAACAGAGGAACTTTGTCTTGAATTAAAGAGAAATGCTGCCTTTGGCAAACTGGGCAAGTGGTCTTTGGAAAATTGCAATATATTTTGCACAAAGCAATCAGCTTAACAGAAAATCTTATTTCTTATACACATATTGAAAATCAAGAAGCGGTAACTTAAAGGCAATTGTGCTCCCAAATCATTCAGGATAGTCCCATTATTTCATCTACTGTTGCTCTTCTGTGCCAAAATAACTTTAAAAAGTTTAGACATTCCTAAACTAAGTTCTCAAAGAAAAATACTAAATATGCTAGTCATTACAAAAAACAAGTAGCTTGTATTTTAAAGATGAGCATTAAGTACTAGAATATAGGCGAGTGAGAAATCAAGAGTTTGGTTTTCCTAATAATTTAATAGTTTGCTCAATTCATTTGAAGACCTCTTCCCTGCACCACTTCTGGGGTTTTGCTATTTTGTTAGCCAACAGAGAAACATTATGGTCAAAATCTATAGTAATTCGACAAAGGCATCTTGGAAAGATTGGGGTTTTTTGCTCTGAATTCTGTTTAAGTCCTTAAAGGCTTCTTCCTTTCAGTCTGGAAAGAACAATGGGAGAAATCTTAAAACATTTCAAAAGAGAGGTCAGCAGCACCAAATTGTAGCTTTGGATTTAGCCAGAGGAAATGTTTTTCCTTCTCCATATCATGAATATACTTATTTTGTTTTACAATGATGTGCTCTAGTTCTTAGGTAGCAGTATGAATTTTTCCATAAAAAAAGCTGTGTTCCTAATGATGGCTTGATGAGAAAATGCAACCAGAGCACACTTTTTCTACTTGCATAATCAAATGGAAAGGTATTCCTGCCCACTAGTCCACTGAGGTGTTGTTGTTATTGCTGTTGCTGTTGTTGTTGGGCCTGGAGTAAAAGGCAAGGTCTCTCCAAAATTAGGAACATGCCAACTGTTTTTTTTTTTAAAAAAGCTTCCATGCTACTTAAGAAAACATGGCTGGAAAATATGTGGCTTTCTACAGATATTGCTAACAATCTATCTTCATCGTTGGCCAAGCTTTTTGGAGTTGCTGTGTGTTGTGGTTCAGCAACATTTGAGAGTCCACAGGTTCTCCCTATAAAAGATTTCAGGCATAACTAATGTAAATGCAAAGCTCTGGTGAGTTTTGTAAACTATCCACAAGATTACAGTCTCCTCATCTCAAGCCACATTTTAGATATGGTTGAAGCAAAGCCTTAGTATAACTGATCTCTGATACAATAACCTGGGAGATGAGATGGGTGATGAATTTATAAGTGCTAGGAAGACCAGGTAACCATATTTCATATTTGAATTTCTGACAAGAGGAGTGGGAGGAAGGGAAGGCATTAGGAAGATGGTCAGAGAAATGGACAGCACTCTGAGGCAGTAATGGAGTTAAAGGAATAAGGCTGGGAAGGAAGAATGGGTGAGTGATGTGCAGTAGCTAAGGAGGAGAGAAAAATGTTGGGAAGATTGATAGATCAGGCAGGCAGGTGGATATAAGTTGGCAGCAAATATAATTCTTTTTCCTCACCCTGGCTCTGCCCCAATCCATAGTTCCTGACTGACAAAACAATAGAAAGAAAAGGGGTCCTTCAACAATCCCTAAGGTTGGTGCTAAGAATGATGCCCTTATCTTTGAAGGACTGGTAGTCTGTTTCAGAATTAATACACTCTCCTTTCACTTTAAAATACTTTAAAATGAGATTTTTAATTCCCAGTTTGATCTCCAGGATCCTAGTTATTTTGTACTTTTCCACTTGATCACAACCTCTTTTTTTTCCTTAAGGGAATGGAAACCCTTAATAATATTTAATGTTCACATCCATCACACCTATACTTCTAATGGTTGTGGAGCATAGGAGATGAATAGAAAGAGAACACAATGAAACTCCCAGAACCAGATTGGTTTGATTTTAAAAGTAGGTAATTAAGTATATTTCCATATCATATTATATATGTAGGAGTTGGGTTGAGAATGGAAGTATCACTGTTCTCTGATGCACATCGATATCCACTGCAGTATGCAGATGCCCAGAGAAAGGCTGGGGCTCTGGAAGAAGACTTCAGGCCCAGTTTTTCATAGAATCAGAAGATTTGCAAAGTATCTTTGCGGTCTAATCCAACCCTCTGTTCATCACAGCATCTACTAACTAAAGCATCTCTGATACCTTTTGCATCCCCCTACTTACAAGCATTTCCTGCCAATATACAGGAAATGGTTTTCTTTTTAAAATGGTTTATCAGAGGTGGTATTCAGCAGGTTCTGACCAGTTCTGGAGAACCGGTTGAGGAAATTTTGAGTAGTTTGGAGAACCAGCAAATACCACCTCTGACTGGAGATCTTACAGTATCCTTCCCCTGCCACGCCCACCAAGCCACGCCCACAGAACTGGTAATTTAAAAAAAATCCCACCACTGTGGTTTATGGCTTAAAAATATCCCTACACATTGAAGCATTCCTTTCTCAATATGTAAAATATTACTGCATTAAAAAATCACTATCATAAAAATTATCAATAAAATCATGCGTATATGTGTATGTATATGTATATTTAGAAAGCAGAATAATCATAGCAGGCAATAACTTTAGAAAAGTGTTGTGCAAGAAAACCTTATCAGATGACGAGTTCATGAGAACTATAAAACACATGTTCTTTTGTATAATTATGGAGGTCAGACTTTTGTCAGGGACCAGCATATCCATTCATTACTGATTTTATTCATAGAATAACTGCTGATAAGAAAAATATGGCATCAAGTATTGGGGGAAAACCTTATCCAAGAAGTTCATTTCAGGATACATCAAAAACACAGCACAGTACTTGGTTCTCTATCTGTTAAATAAAAGGCCATTTCAGGCATCAAATACATAGTCAAAACTTATTTGGCAAATTGCAATAGCTATGCTGTTCTCATTTCTGCTTTGTCCCATTTAGTATTGCTGTCTAATATCTATTATCAGTAGTGGAGTCCTGTTATTTGTCTCTCAAAGAGCATATATTACTTGGGCACACACACATATATACATTTTTGTTTCTGTTTCCATGGTGAACTTGATTTTGGGGTGTGCGCTGTTTAGGTGTGTTAGGAAATTGTTTAGGTTTTCTTGTCCATGGGGCCAAATCACGAATGTGTCATCGATGTATCTTAACCATAGTTTGGGTTTGAGGATGGCATTGGCCAGGGCTCTGGATTCGAATTCTTCCATGAACAGGTTTGCAATGACAGGTGACAGTGGTGATCCCATGGGGGCTCCTTCTATTTGTTTGTATCTTTGTCCTTTGTATATGAAATATGTATTGATTAAGCAGTGTTCTGTTAGTTCCATGAGGTGTTTAGCTGGTTGGTATTTATTTTTGATGATTTCAAGGGTCTCTTTTATCGGGACTTGAGTGAATAGTGAAACCACGTCAAAACTTACAAGCAGAGCTTCTTGTTCCACGTGTAGATCTTTGATCATTTCCAAGAAGTGGTATGAGTTTTGTACATGAGAAGCTGCTGTTTCAGCATGGGGCTGTAGCTCTTTTGCTAGGTGTTTAGCTAGGTTTTGTAGTGGTGCTCCTCTGGAGCTGACTATGGGTCTGAGAGGTATGCCTTCTTTGTGTATTTTTGGGAGGCCGTATAGTTTGGGGCATCTGGAAGATTTATATATATATATATATTCTTAAGTTTTTGCGGGTACTTACATGTATGGTATTCAGCTTTGTTCAGGTATTTTCCCACGTCATTATAGTTGTGCTTTTAAAGTTGTAGCAATGTTTCAGCAGAATCTCATCTGCCATCATCAGGCTTCTGATGGCTTCAGAAGCCTGATGATGGCAGATGAGATTCTGCCGA